TCTTTCTGGCAGCCCCATGATGCGAATGTTGATATGTTTGAAGTTGTCCCAGAGGCTTCTTACACTATCCTCATTTTATTTTAATTCCTTTTTCTTTTTGCTGCTCTAATTGGGTGTTTTCTGCTTCTCTATCTTTCAAATTGCTGATTTGATTCTCAGCTTCATGTACTCTACTGTTGATTCCCTGTAATGTATTCTTCATTTTAGTTAGTGTATCCTTCATTTTTGAGTAGTTCTTTTTCATATTTCCTATATCCACTTAATGTTTCCTATCTCTTTATTGGACTTCTAAGTTGATCTACTTTTCCCCTAAGTTCATTGAGCATCCTTATAACTAGTGTTTTGAACTCTGTATCTGGTAGATTGCTTGTTTCTATGTTGTTTATTTCTTTTTTTTGGAGATTTGTTCAAAACTTTGGGACATGTTTCTTTCTCTCCCGTTTTGGCTGCCTCCCTATATTTGTTTCTATGCATTATGTAGAGCTGCTACCCGATTTTGGTTAGAGTGACCTTATGTAGTTGGTGTCCTGTAGGACCCAGTGGCACAGCCTCACTCGTCACCCACGCTGGATGCTCCAAGTGTGTCCCTCCTGTGGGCTGTGTGTATTCTCCTGTGTAGTTGAGCCTTGATTGCTCTTGGCATGTCAATGGGAGGAGGAGATTTACCCCCAGGGCAGTCAGCTGCCAGGACTGGCCACACCACAGTGGTGATATGCTTAAAACATTCTTTTTGTGATTGACAGTATGACTGCTATTCTTATCACCACTTTCTTTTGGGGCCCAATAATTGCAGCAAGGTCAAGAATTAAAAAAAGGCAAAATTAAAAAAGAGAGAGAAAGGAATGAAGATAGGTACAAGGATTAGAAAGGAAGAGAGAACTGATGTCATTGGCAAAAGGATGTGGAGTTAAAATATTAGAATTAATAGGAGTTGTAGCAGAATTGCTGAATACAGAATCAGTATGTAAAAAGCAGTTGCAGAAAATAGTTGTTTTTTATAAAGTTTAACATATACTTTTGCAACACTGTAATTCCACTGCTAGGCACATATTTAAGAGAAATGAAAATATACACATAAAGACTTGGATGTGAATGTTCATAACAGTATTATTCATGATAACCAAAAAGTATAAACAATTCAGATATTCATTCACTAGTAAATGGTAAACAAAAGGTGTTATATCCATACAGTGAAATACTATTCAGCAATACAAAGGAATGAACTACTGATGTGTGCTACAGCATAACTCAAAAATATTATAAGTGAAAGAATCCATATATATTGTATGTTTCCACTTATAAGGAATGTCCAGAAAGAACAAACCTATAGAGACAGAGAGTAGGCCACTCTTAGTGATTGCCTGTGACGGGGGTGGGCGCAGGGATCGGTTGCATATGGTATGAGGGATATTTTTGGTTATGGAAACATTCTAAAATTAATTTATCTTTTATAATTCAGATTTTTTAAATGTATAGTTTTCTTGAAAGTGGCTGCATTCCTGTACTTTAACATGTGTTGTATTTAAGGCAGTAGCACTATATTGCTTGAGATTTATAAAAGTGTCATGTCTTAAATTTTTCCTTTTTGATGCCTTTAAAAATTTTTTATTTTATTTGGGACAGTCAGACTTTTTACTGTAATTGTATTGTTTTATTCTTGAAGTGTCTAGGAAGTTATTTTATATTGGCATATATTAAGTAAATTATTAGATATAAAATTTGAGGGACTTCCACTGTATTATTATTATTATTATTATTATTATGCATCCAGCAAAGTGCATAAGCCATATGGATACTGCTTGATGAATTATCACAGTGTTTTCACCCCCATGTAACAACTATCCCTAGGTCAAGAAATAGGTCCAGTAAATTTGAAAGTTTCATGACTTGTGAAAGCGGAGACTGGGGAATTGCTTAGGAAGGGGTCATTTACTTAAGGATTCCTCTTTGGCCTATTTTTAAATGTACTACCATGCTGTTTCAAAGTAGTGTTGCATTTTCTTGCTTGGTCATAAATAGATTCAAATGATTAATTGTGTATTTGATGTAGGAACACAGTTGGACAGAACGAATTGAAAGTCACAAGTGATAGTACAATTAATTCAGGATTAATTTTTGAAGATAAGCCAAAGCCTCCAAAGCAGACACTTCAGTCTTACCAAGAAGCTTTGCAGCAGCAGGTATTCATCTGTTGATTCATTCATTCATTTAATGTTGAACATTTTATGTGTTAGCACAATGGCCCTTAGTAGCTCAGAGTGTGGCAGAGGAGAAAAAAAGATGACAGTTACTTATAATTCACCACGATGAGTTTAGATGTAGATAGCCAGGAGTGCTGTTGGAAGCATAGGATAAGGAAAGGTTATTGCCTGGGCAGTTAAAAGGGCCTCACAAGGTTGTTGATACTTGAGTTGCATTTATACATTGAATAGATTTGAAGTTTCTGGTATATTCAAGGGAATGGAATGGATTTGGGAGAAAGGGCTGGAGTGTTAGGTTGTACTGGATTGTGAAAGCCTAGCTATACGGGGCTTTCAATTTTTTTCTATTAAGGATAGCAAAAGGGAGGTTGTTTTAAGCCACAGAGTAAAAGGAGTAGTTGATGAGAGCAGAATTGGCTTTTTAGAAAGATACCTGGTTGTGAAAGAGGCATGGCAGAGAAACCTTTTAGTGAATTACTGAGGTAGTCCATCCAGGAGGTAAGGAAACCCTAAACCCTACGGGGGAGAAGGGGAAGACATCCAAGAGACAATTTGGGGGTTTCAGTGATAGGACTTAGGTACAGGGAGTGAGAAGAACAGAGGGTGTGAAGGTGATACTGAGTGTTGGAATCTAGGAGAATAATGAGACAATGAACTAAGATAGGGGAAAAAAGAGGTAGGACACTTTTAGGGAGGAGCGTAAAGGGTTCTGTTGCAGTTTGTAATGTTTGAACAGAGTTTCCTGAGGAGTATCAAATGTATGGGTTTTGGGGGGAATACCCTTTATCTCTGAGAGGACCCTGGGACTCTTGGTAGGCATAAGTCAACCTAAGGTACTTTTCTGTAAAGTTCCACTTGGGTTTCTTCTAAAGCTCCTTTTCTTCAGTTTTTACATGAGCAACCTCCTTAAAAAATAGATTTTTTAAGTTACAGAATTACCAACATTATTTTTTTGTATGTTAGGATTCTACAAAATAAAAAACTGAATTTATCTTCTGTTTTCAAATGAGCATATTAAAAACACCATTGACAAAACTAGATTTTCAAACTCTAGAATTTTATTTTATGTATGTGATGAGTTCACTGGCCTTACTGGAGTGGTTGCTTACATTTTCCATGCATGTGGTTATAATTTTAAAAGTAAGTTTCCAAAATGTAGATACTTGTTGGTTGCCTATCCATATCTCTCCAGAGAACAAGACTGTCATTATGATGATAAGACTGTATTCCCCAAAAAGCTTTGAACTTTCAACCTTTTTGAATTCTGGAATGGAGTTTGCCCAGGGTAGAGTGGATCTGGTGAATTGGAAGGAGTAGTTTCTGGCGGGCCAGGTTCCATGAAAGGGTGGATGAAAAAGAAAGTAGGGAGGCCCTATTGGACACCATGAACTGGTGAGGTCAGGGGGCGAGGGATGGGGAGTATAGCTCGGGTAGACTTTGCGGGTGGGATGGAGGAGGTAGGTGGCTTAGCCCACATGGCATCAGTGGTTGGAAAGGACTCTAGTGGCATGATGTGAGGCAGCATCAGCTATGTATTCCAACCAGCAAAGTGTTTTAAAATTGGTTATTATCTATACTTGTGATTTTAAATTTTATAGTGAAGCATACTGAAACACATCTCCAATTTTTCTCTAGTAAGAAAGATGTGTTTTTATAACTAACTTTTTGTATCAGAGTACTTGTAAGCACTTACTGTGAATATTTCTTATGTTGTCAAGATTCGGGAAAGAGAACAGAGAAGGAAGAAAGAACGTGAAGAAAAGGAAAATTATGAAGCGAAGCTAGAGGCTGAAATGAGAAGTTACAACCCCTGGGGGAAAGGTGGAGGTGGTGCTCCTCTCAGGGACACAGAGGGAAACCTGATAAGTATGTTGTTTCCATTGATTTGTTGTTTTCAAAAGAAACAATTATTTATTTATTTATTTTAGGTTTTAAAGCTTCTGTATTAAAAATAATTACCTTAAACACAATTAAAATTAAAAACCATCTAAGAAAAAAACCACTTTCAGTATTGACAGACAAAAAAATAATACTTTCAATATATATTGATTTAACACTGTTAAATAATAAGATAGAAAGACCAATAGAAAATGGACAAATATGTATATTGAGATAATTTATAAGAGAATAAACATGTCTCAGCCTCATGAGCAAAGCAGTACCAATTACATCAATTGAAATTATATGAGAAAATCTTTGACCCAGAACATTGGCAGAGATTCCATTTAATGCCATTTCATTTTTTCAAGGCCCTCATTTTTATGGAATTGTAAATTAGAACAGCTTTACTATCGGACATTTGGATGATATGAATTAAAAGTTTTCATTGGTTTTGGTTTTATGGTATTAGAAACAATTATTTTTAACTTTTGAAAGATTGATGAGCAGACAGTAGTGTCAGGTCATAGCCTGCAAGGCAAGGTCTCTTTTTATGCAGCTTAATGCAAAAAAGGTATTTTGATAATATCTGTATAACAACACCTTAGAAAGCCTTTCTTCTTCAGAGTACTATTCATTTATTTCTATTATAAATTGTCTCTGATGATAACTCAGTTGCAGAGAAAAGCTCATGTTAGTTGGCAAATATTTACCTCAACTAGTTAGAATTTATAAAAATTTCCTAGTAAAAGTAATAAAACCCTTATTTCCAAGGTGGTTGTGGTTTTTTAAAAAACAACAATCAAACTAGTAAGATATCTTTAAAATAAGTGATCTGGAATAGGGTGCAAGGGATGCTGTGTTTAAATCATATAAAAAATGAATGAAAAAGTTTAAGTACTATTTATATATTATTTACCTACTAGGGGCCCGGTGCACGAAATTCGTGCACCGGGTGTGTGTGTGGGGGGGTGTCCCTCAGCCCAGCCTGCCCCCTCTCACATACTGGGAGCCCTCAGGCATTGACCCCCATCACCTTCCAATCGCAGGATCGGCCCCTGGGCAGGGGACACTCATT